CCTGGCTCATGTGTTCTGCTAAGCCACGGTGACTTGTCGGTCTGGCTTAACATGATGTTCAAGGCTGGCGCAGCTTTTCTGTCATGGGTTGTTGTTGGAACTTGCGCCGTGTGGGCTTGTTTAGGGTAGCTTGCCTTCAAAGTCACTTGTCGCGCTGTCCAAGCACAGTAGAGTCATTTCGGCATGGTTTGTTTAAAATAGCAAGACAGCCGCTTGGCAAGACCAGTGGAAAACCCTGCTAGCTGTTCCTTGCGATCCTGCTAGTGCCCCCACCCTCGCTTGCCTTCCCTGCTGTCAGTGCGGTAAGGTTTTGGCCCTTCATGGATACTGCCCTGCCACCTGGCAGTGCCTCCTGTGCATGGGCAGCCCTTTAAAAAAACTGGGGCTTAAAATTGTGCAGAAGGGGTTCTGCTCAGTTCTGCACAAGTATGTATAGCCAGCCACAGGATGGCAGCAGGGCGCATCTTCTTTTCTTTTTTAAATCCACATTTTTCACTGAGTCTTAAGTTGGAGGAGCAGACATAAGCGCCACATACTCCCACAGTCATTACACCTGCATTTAAAGCTCCCCTCTCATTTAGACACTGCTTTCAGAGTTCTCCATCAAATAAAGTGTCAAAGCACAAATGAATCTGACCGCTGGCATTTTCAGATTTTACAAAGGGGAATTTGGTAGGTGGCATTGCTAGATGAATAAGGAGCAGGTGTGCCTGGGCACTGTGCTACCTACCTACTATCATACCACTATCATACAGTGTAAGAACATAGCTGCAGTTATAGGAAAATGCGCACTCGTGCAGGACCAAAATGGATGGTGGGGGCGGGGGGGGGGTACAAATATCTATTTGATTTGTGCTAAAAAATGAGATTCAAACAAAATAACTAGCCTGTTTGTCCAAATGTGAAGGAAAAATTTTAAAACTACTGATCCTGTTCATGCAAATTTAAAGGACAATTCTTTAAAAAAAAAACACCCAAAAAATCCTTTTTGCATGAATTTGAAGCCCTGAAAGCCTTATCTTATTTATATGAAAATGAAGAAGTGGGTAAAACGGGTTCAGAAATTAAAATTGTTCAGAAAAGCGGTAACAAATTTTCTTAGGTAAGTCTCTCTCAGATTTGCATCCCTGGATCCTGCAGCGTTTGTCAACTGTTCCTGCAAAACTGCTTCAGCTCTGTTGTGTTCAATGGGGATTTTGAGGAATAGCAACTTTCAAATCTTGCCAAAGATTCTCAATTGGAATGAGGCCTGGAGTATGATTAGGCCATTCTGAGACATTCAGGGTCTTATTTTGAAACTCCTCCAGTGTTATTTTGGGCTGTGTGTTTAGAGGTCATTTTCCTGCTAGAAGGTGAACTTCCAGTCCAATCCCAGGTCCCTTGCAGAAAGAAACACCAGTTTCCTCTGGAATTGTCCTGTATTTGGCTCCATCTGTTTTGCCCTCAATCCTGACTAGTTTCCTACTTCCAGCTGAGGAAGAGCATCATACCTCTTGATGCTGTTACTATCACCGTGCTTCACTGGGGGCATGGTGTTCTGAAGGCAATGAGCATTGTTGGGTTTGCACGGCGCATAGCATTTTGCAGCACGGCTGAAAAATTAGGTATTCATCTACTCAGACAGAGAACCTCTTTATACTGGTTTGGTGCCTCCCACATGTCTTTCAAGAAGACATGTTGAGGCTTTGATATGGGTTTCTTTCAATAATGGATTTCTTCTCACCACAGTTTCATAAAGCCTAGATTTGTGGAGCACCCAGGTGATAGGTCCTTGGACAGTTTCTCCCGTCTTGTGAAGATCTCTCCTGCTCCATAGCCTCGTGCTTGCTTCTTTGACTGAAGCTGCCCTTATCCCATCACTGAGTTTTGGTTAATGGTCTTCTCTAGGCAGAGTCATGGTTAAGCCATATTTTTTTCCATTTTATAATATTGGTTTTAATAGTGCTCTGAAGAATGTTGGTAGTTTGGGAGATACATCTGTATTAGTGATGTGTTCGAGTCCTTTACTCCAAGTCTCAAGTCTTTACCTTCAAGTCCAAGTCTAGTCTCAGGTCAGTGCAAGAAATGTTCAAGTATAGTTTCAGGTCTCTTCTCAAGTCTCAAGAGCCAACTTTAACAGGAAAAAGGGAGGTGAGGTGGTGGTGAGAGTTGTAACCCCCCCCCCCACATGTTCCCATCTGCACTTCTCTCAGTGAACTTACTTCAACCACAATTTACTTAAACAAAACTACCTCTCTCCCTCCACCTCCCTCATGATGATAAAAGAGCTTAAGCCTTCCCTTCTCTCTGTGGCAACACCTCCTCCCTATCCTGCCTGAAATTCCCTCCCTCTCACAGCCTCTGCTGTTTATGTGCTGACTTGTGCCTTCCTGGATATCCTGCTGCACAGTAAGCCCTTGGTGGTAAAAAAAAAAAAATGTGGACTGCGATGTGCTGGTAAATAATGTAGAACTCTCAAGTCGAGTCACTTGTTGCTGCCAAGTCAAGTCCAAGTTGACTCGCTCTCATGTGAGTCGAGTTCCCAACACACACACACACACACACACACGAGAGAGAGAGAGAGAGAGAGAGAGAGAGAGAGAGAGAGAGAGAGAGAGAATGAGCATGCCAGACCGATGTGTACTTCTGCACAACTTTGTTGTGTTAGGCCCTTGTTCTTCATTCATTTGGCTGTTTAGATGTGCTCTCCAATAAATTCTGGGGCTTTCCAGCAAGAGATGTATTTAACTTGAGATTGTGTATCGCTGGATTGCACACAGGTGGACTGTATTCACAAGCTTACAATGGACAGGTTTGCACAATACAATGAGCCATGGTGGCTTTTTTAATCATTGTGGTGATCTGCATCATCCAAACCCAGTTGTGATACATCACTGTGGTATGTGGCCTTTAGGTAAACCCCAAACAGAAACAACAGTTTGTTAGAGTTTCTCAGTACCACAGTGTCTTGTTGTGTTTTCTGGTCCTGGATAACACGATTCACAATTCCTTTGGAAAAACTCATCTCACTGTTTATGAGCACAAGCTAATTCAGATATTTCAGATGTGAATAAATTTGACCTTTTCCAATTGTGAAATCTGAGCTTTTTAGACATACACCCATGAATTTTGATTATGTGATTTTTCCAGAAATACAAATATCATAAGTAACAGGAAGGTGAAGATATAGGCTAAATAAAAAATGAAACCAGTCCAGTCTGCTGGATGATTTTTTTCTCAGCTTGGAGATCCAAACTTCTAGGAAATAAGCCATTGTATTATAACAATAAGAGTACAACATCTCTTTGCTCTGACTTCTATTGACATTTGTTTCCGCTCTATTTATTTATTTGTGCTTATTTATGTATGTATGCTTTCTGTCTTTGTTCAGTAAAAATTCAGACTCAAACATTTCTTGTTTCAGGTATATCACACTTTACGCAAATTATATGCACTTGCATGCAAACAAATGCATGTGCAGAAATTCACAGGAACTGTGACTGCATGTCAGATGGTACTATACAGTATCCATGAATTAGCCAATATTCATTAATTTCAAGCACCTCTTCTTTATTGAATCTGGAGTGTAGTTCTATACCCTCCTTCAACCTGCTTCATCTTCTTATTTCTTCTTCTTTTTTTCTTTTTTTCCCCTTTTTTCCTGTGTATGGAAAATTGCTTCACTCTGTCTGCCCAGGGGTTTCAGCTACCCATGGTTACAAGTCAACAGTTTCTCACTTAATAGGTAGGATAGTAGTCCAAGGAAAACCCTATCTTCCCAAACCCCATACCTCATCCCAGAGAAAAGTTGGCTTAACAAATGCCAAATCCTATGAGAGATCTTTAAAAAGAATGAATTATCCTTCAGCTTCTGGCAGCATCGAGCAACTGTATCGCCCTTTAATGCCTTGCAAAGAATCGCCTGAAAGGCGCAATTTTCTGGCGTCAATGGTTTAATTCTCAGAAGGGTTGGGCTTGGCAGCCTAATTTTATACCAACTACTGAGGCAAGCCTCTTGTGGGCTATTATTTCACGGAGTGTTTATTTACTGTGGTCCGCATGGTGGAAGGATCAGCCTGTGCGAAGCTTCTCTGTTTTTCTCATGCTGTTGCGCTGCATTAACAGAATGGCAGTTAGTTTAATGGGAGAATCAGAGAACATCCCTTTTTTATTCCAAGACAGTGTTCTGTGAGCATTGTGTAAATAAAGAATACGAGAGAAGCAGAAGGCATTCAGTAGCACACTGTGTGAGGACAGTGTTTGCTGTGTTTGTGTTGGTGTGTTCAGAAAACAGAAGCAGGAAAATATGAGCTTACTGAATCATAAGATTTTAAAGTTGCATGTTTGTGTGAAAGAAAGTGTGACAAAAAGGGAACGAGTAGACCAGTAATTTTGTCCCTCCTGTCTCAACAAAACGGAGGCATTTTATTTCTTTTCAAGCTGCTGAAGAGGTGCTGGAGGCAGCTTATGTGGTGTTCATCTGCTGTGCCTCGAATGTGTGTATTTCCACACGGAGAGTATTAGAGGGAACGGAGTATTGAATTACTTGAAAGAAATGGCTTGCGGTCTCCCTGCTCATTCTCGGCGTTTGTTTGTTTGCTTTGCTAGTCCAGGCATAGTCAGATGGGGGACTGGCGAGAGGCATGCACAGCAGAAGTGGGTTAAACATTTAATTAGAATCCATAGTGGTAGCTACTGAAGCTTAACAGAGATTTATATAAGCTGTTAAGAAGGACACAAGGCTGCTGTGTGAGCTTCCAGTCAGCCTGAGCCACCGCAGCCGTTGGCTGGACTTCAAGCAGTGCCAGGGCATGTCTGAGAGTCTGCCCAGGAAGCAAAGTGAAAGAGGAGTTTGTGCAAGCCGTGACCCTGGCCTCTCGCAACACCCCTAGCCTTTTTCGTGCGGTATATAATGAGTCCGCTATAGCAGGAGGTCGGTGTGCTTTTAAAAAGGGGGGACTGGCGGACCCAGGGCAGGAAGAAACGTAACTGGGCAGATCGAAGCTCAGAAACGGCAGATCATGGCTTCAGTATTCATGTGTGGAGTCGAAGACTTTCTATTCAGTGGGAGCCGGTTCATTTGGAATTTGACAGTCTCGACGTTAAGGACGTGGTACACGCAGAGAGTGAGGGGATGCCACCAAGCCCTGAGAACATGGTGTGGCATAAGGGATGTTTATCAGGTAAACCCTTGCCTATTTTAAATGTTCCTCCTTCTTGTGTGGCCAACAGCAGGGCTGGGGTGGGAGCAGGGGGAGAGAAGATAGACCCTCTCTAACTTAACTCTCATTCATCTCGAGATGCTCTCTAATGAAGTACATAATTCCTATTATTTCTCTGTAAGAGACGTGTTGCCTTAATACAGACCTTTATTTTCATAATCTCTAGGAATATAGCCAATTGAGGCAATTGTAGTATCGTAATCATTTTGGCACGTGTGTGTGTATGTTTTGGGGTTTTTTTAATATGATGCTTTCCGGAAATCTTTGCTGGGCCAAATGCCCTCCAGTGTTGTTTAAAGCTGTTGATTGGGGTTGATAGCCCTTTCTGTCCCAGTGCCTTTCCAAAAGGCAGTCCTTTACTGCCATCATGTACTTTTAAATCTAATGGGGTTATTTGGTATCTATTGAGTAAATAAGCAAGATGTGAAACACTGCAACAGGAACAACTTTTTATTTCCCCCTTTATGCTCTACTTTTCCCATGTTTTCTCTGTTTTCCCAATAATATGCAGATTTAAAGTTCCCCATAGGCTTATAGTGTCTACAGTGGGGGAACAAGAGGGACAAATTTTGAAATTGGTGTTCTTCTGATAACTCCTCCCTCCCTCCTGTACCCCATTTGTACTTGTTCTGCAGACCAGAGACAAAAATGCAGCAACCACTTCGATGTGCCACCGTTTTAATGTCACAGAGCTAAAGTGTGATGTCATGTTGTTCCATACGATTGTTTTAAAGCTAACTCTTTAAAGAAATTAAGGGGTTTTTAAGGCAGTCCTTAAGGCAGGTGTAGGTTTCCAACTTTCCTGAATGTGCCTGTAGAATTTCCATTTGAAAGCACTGTTCCATGCCTCAGGGGAATCCTTTTGAGATATTTAACATGCTGCTATGAGTTTGTGCGCATGTGTATGTGTCCGGTTTTCAAAGGAAATGCATGGATGGTTTAGACAAGGTCCTTCTGAGGTTATAGTGCTGTTAACATAGTGTGTTGTGACCTTCTGTGGCTTTATGGAGATAGCTTGTGTCCTTGCATTTCAAGTGGATAAGGGCGTTAAACAGAATAGCCACTGTTCCTTATACTGACTATCTGACTCTACATTTAATGCTGCCATCTTATATATGCTTGACAAGGTTAACCTCACCAGAGTCTGCTTCTGAGTAATCACAGGTAGGGTTGTAATGTGAATTTCTCTTATGAATGTCAAACTAGTATATGTCCACATTTGAGTAGACCAGCCTTCCCCAACTTGGTGGCCTCTAGATGTTTTGGACTACTTTCTCATCCTCTCTGTTGGCCATACAGCCTGATGGGAGTCGTAGTCTAAAACATCTAGAGGGCACCAGGATGGGAAAGGCTGTGACATATTGTCGAAGTGGCTAACCTTTCCACTGGATTGATTCTCCTGGTGTTGGTCCTGGCTGTTTCTTAGTGTGATTTGTGTTGCCTGGATTGGAGTGCTGTGTTGTGTTGTCTTGGTTTCTGCCAGCCTTCTGTCCAGCCATGTTCTGGCTTTCTCTTTAGACTATATTTTAGTAAGCATGTGTAGACTAACTGCTGGTGTGCGACTGTTCCTGTCCATTTTCTAGGTAGAACCAGATCCTATAAAAGTATGTTGGTCTTACTATGGGGAAATTTACTGACAACCCACCAAAGGTGAGTTGCAGAAATACCATATCCTCTTATGTCATTTCTGCCAACATATTAAACGAATCTGTTCAGCTCTTCCCTATGACTTTCCTAAGATGCCCTCTCTAATGCTATCAGTGACCTACATCTCTCATTCCAGGCAGCTTTTGCATGCTAAGTGTCATTTCTCTTTAGTGTAACAGCACATGCTTATGGACGTGGGACTCCACAATGTAGCACAGAGTAAGGGCCCTCTATTCTTTAACCCAATATGAGATGACATTTTTTTTTCCATCTGGAAATGTAGCATCTTGCATCATACCCTCCATACAAAATATATCAGCCTGCCCTTATAAACTGCACTGGATATTGCTGATGGAAAAGTTGGCACAGGGGTCTTTGCTGGAGCCTTTGTAAATCAGTAAGAACCAATATTAATAGTATTAGGATTCGGCTGGACTCATGAGGCTTAGAAGTCTTCCAAGAATGTTATTCTTTTGGTTACAAGGTCATATACCTCAAGGCATAAATAGTTGCCAGCCTTTCCTAATGGAACTTACTGTGGGATTTCCTCTGCTTTAGAAGAGTACAGTTTCATGGCAATTACACTTTCCATGAAAGCTGGTTCCTCCAGTTTCAAAAGTATGCTTACCGTATTGCAGAAGTGGTGCTCAGAACACCACACTTACTTTTTTGTTGGTTAGAATGGTGGCAAGCATCCCATGTCAGTTTAGCAACAATTGCATTTACCATCCAGAGAATGGCCTAGGAAATTCAAGAGTCTTCATTTATCAGTGGGTGTTGCTTTAAATCTTTCAGTCATTCATCAGTCCCAAGACCTACCACTCATTCCAAAACAGCTTAAAGGTTTTGCCCTGACTGAATATGCAAGATCAGTGCAGATAGGGCAAGAAAGTGGTCTCAGTGACAAAACAGAAATGTTATAAGGTTGGTCAAGAGAAAGGATGCCAGGCCTGAGTGGAATTATATCATGGATTTATATGCAAAACAGCTTCACACAGAATGAGGCCACTGCTCCATCCAGCCCAGTGTTTTCTGCTCACTGGCAGTAGTTCTTCAGCACTGGCCTACAGGGATTAGTCTTACCACTGCCACTGGAAAGCCTTTTAAAGAGCAGTGCTACAGCAGGAGTGGGACCTTCTGGGTGCTGTTAGACTACAGTTGCCATCAGTTCTCAGCAACTTAGCAAATAGTGAAGGCCGCTGGGAGCTGCAGCCCAGGAACATTGGGAGGTCCACACACTCCTCATATCCATACCCATGACTGGCTTTAGCACCTTCATCTTTAGCACCCTGAATTTTATGTTTTATTATGAATCTATGAAGTTACCTTAGTTTAGCTCAGCATTGTTCCCCTTCACTAGTATGGGACTTTCCTGGTGGCAAGCAGGAGCTTTACAGATAGCCCTGCTATCTGACATCATGCTCTTCATATCTGCACCACGCCCTGTTTGGAAAAAGAGATAGATGCGTGCATGTTTTTGGTGTCTGGAACAACCTGAAGAACCATAATATGCTACTTGCATATATTATGATATTGCATTTCCAGGCCACCCTCGTGTTACATTATTCTATGGCCAGCTACCCCGAATGAGTGAACTCCAGAGGAGTAAAGAAGCAGCAGGAAACCAATGTGCTGAACATGTTAAGAGTTAGTGGTGAAGGGTGGAGGAGCTCATTCTAGCTCCAGGGAGGTTATTCCTTTTGGGTCAGGTGAGGAAACTGCTGACAAAGTGCCTAAGCACAATACATAGACTTGACAATGCACACATATTGCTCTATACCTAAATTGCTATAGAGTAATACAGAAGGAAATAGGGCACTTCTGCTTCCTGAAATTCAGATCTAGTTAGCTTGGACAGCTGCACAACCAACATTTCCTCTGCCACCCCACCCTCAAAGGTCTTTACAATTATCGTTTTTCCAGAAGGAAGAAAAGAAAGCCTGGTTTTTAAACATATCTACAAGATGTTGGATAAAGAGGCTGATAAGGATCATCCCTTTGACTGTTATGATCTTTTGGACTCAAAAATTCAAAATCCACCTTTTTTTCCCACAAGGAGGCTTACAAGTCTGTTTTAGCCAGGTTTACCACTGGTGATTATTTTCATTTAGAAACTACTTTTTTAAAAAGTAAGCATACCTTCTTGAAGTTAGTTTATGAAGTGATTTGGGGCATGCTGATTAGGAATTCTTTGTTCTGTGAAAGCACTGTTTTCCACTAAGTGATAGAAAGAAATGTGTTGACCTGTACATACTGCAGTATTTATAAACTCTGAAATGGATTTCAGGGTGATATAGACATGAATGGGTGGATGGTGTTATGCATGGCAGTATAAACACTTTACATTAAAACAATTATTAGAAGAGACAAGAAATAGATAAAACCAGAAACACCACAAAGCAGCAGACGTCATTGCCACGTGAAACATCTTGGCAAAGTGAAACATCTTGGCAAATAAAGTATAACTTTTTGCCAGTAAGGGGCAAATATAGTTTGTTTGGGAAGTTCCCCCAAAGTTAGTTAGTTAGTCTGTTAAACTTACGTTTTGCTATATTGGTTCAGGTTAAGAGGGGCAGTGAAAACCATGAAAACACACTCTTATTTGTAGATAATAATGCCCTCCTGCAAGAAGTGCACTCAGGGAGGTTCTTAATTTATGGGAGGCTGGTATAGGAAGAGGAGTTTCTTTAGCTAATTGGTTCTTAAACTGTTTAGGGCTTTGAGACACCGTCTTGCACCATGGGTTAGACCTAGGAGATAATAGGTGACCAGTGCTTTTTTATTTTTATTTATTTATTTTTAGTCAAGAGGACATCCCTTTTGGATGAAATATGAATAGCTCAAATGCTCTCACATGCACTTCTTCAGACCTACCAAATTAACCAAACTGCACGAAATGCACCAAATTAACACCAAACTTTCCGATAGTGGCAAAGATTGCCTCTTGAGCACTTACTTGCTGTAAAAGCACAATACCTGCCACTGTGCAGTTCCTGCCACTTTGCACTGTAGGGCTTGCATACTGATGAATGAAGACTTCAGGCATTAGGTTCAGTCCCTTTTAAAAATAGGATTTATGGATCTGGCCTGCTTGTGCTAAGATTTCCTCTTGGTGGATGAATTGTTATAAATTGTTATAACATCATCTGAAATGTTAAATATAAATTAAAAATCTGCCCTGCCAATTGACAGTTGATGGTGAAGCTATTTTTGCTCATCCAACTTCCCAGCAACCGCTTTCCAGTGATTTCAGCCAGGATTATTCCACTTCAGTTTGTGAATAATATGTTTTGGTTTGGGGGCAGTGGGTGTGG